CATTCAGAATTATAATTAAATTCTCGCTTATCATATATCAAAGCATTATATTTTTTCTTTGATATATACAAGTTAGGGCCAAGGACTTTTTCCATTTCCATAACTATTCTCGGCAATCCCATTTTATTAGCAAACCAATCATTTATTTCATTTTGCAATTCAATACCATCATCATACGCACTTAACATCATATCTTCTTGTATATCATATATTATTTTTGTAAATTTTTCTAATCCTATTCCTTCTTCTAATAATCGATATTCGTATTTTTTAACAATATCATTTATAATCAATGGTGTATATCCTAAAAATGTTGAATCGGTATCTGTATATTTTCATATATACTTTTTCTCTTTATTTGATTCAGATATTTCTTTACTCTTCATATAATTCGATGCCATTTCTATATATTTTTGGCCAAATGAAGTAACAGCAGCTGATATATCATAATCACATATAATTGAATATGGATTACCAGTTTGTCCATAAATAGAATTAGCTATTCTTTTTAATAAATCTTGTAAAATATTGTAATAATCATACAATAAATTTCCTTTATCATATTCATCACGTTTAACTTTTGCTTCCTTTCTTCGTTTTACAAACAAACTCAAAATTAAAGGTACTAATCCTCTTTTGTTTTTTGAAAATTTGCCTATTTTAGTATTTCCATTTTTCATATCAACTGATATTTCATGACATTCTTCATTTGATTCAGAACCAATTTTAGTAAGAAAACAAATGTTATTTTGCATCATAAGATTGGGATATAATGAATTAAAATCCAAACATATATCAAACGTAAAGGAATATTCTTTATTAGGCTCTTTAACTGTGCCACCACCAAAATCTTCTTTCTCATGTTTTTCATTATATTTAAATGATATATTAAAACCTTCTAATAAAGCAATTAATACTAATGTATTATTAATCATTTTTGTCTTATTTCCATGAGAATATTCTATCATGGTTATATTTGTTAATTCGGATACTAATCTATATTCGGTAATTTTGTTTATGTGTTCATTTGCTTCTTTTGGTGCTATGCAATCCCTAATACAATATTCTAAAATAATGGTGCATTTTCTTTTTCTTGTCTCATCATAATTTCGACTATAGCAATTATGTAATATTTCATACATCTCATCTATAGAAAATTCTAACTTCAGATCTAATTTGAGTTTTCCTAATATAGTATTTAATGACCATTTTGATAATGTTCCAAAATGTTGTCGAAAAATAGTTTGGTGATCATATTCTTCAGTTCCTTCAATTTTGATATAATAATGTTTTGTTTTTTCATTTGCATTTATAGTAATAAATTCTTCTTTATAAAAATATTTAATAATATCTTCTATTTCCCTTTCTTTACCAGTAGCAATTTTATAAAATTCTTGGAATATATTTAATTCATACAATTTCCGAATAGTAAATTTCCAGTCATATCCGAGATTATTCCATCCTCCAGTTTTTTCAGATCGGAAATTACAATATAACATAGCCTTTGTTAAAAAAAATTCTTTTTGTGTCTTGACATATACTATTTCAAGCTTAGCATCTATATTTTCATATTCTACCGGAAATTCATTTTCATCTTGTAATAAAATAGCAACTATATAAAATGGTTTTATATCTCTACCTTTGAAAAAACAAAATACTCCCATAAAAGCCTTATCGATCTCATATCCAGTAGAAACCCTTCCTTTTTTTCCTATTTTTAAATTATCAATATCAACCGTTTCGTAATCAAAATACATCGATATGTATGCATTAAAATTTTCAACAAATTTTATAAGTGTATAATCATATTTATTTTCATACATATTTTTTGATAAAGTCTTGTTTGTTTTAAAAGCTTTTGATAATGGAAATCCTTTTTTAATATTATCAATTATTACTTCAGTTCTTGGTGCTATAAACATATAATAAGGTGTTGAAATATCGTCTTCATACATATCAAATATTTCATATTGCTTCTTTGTTTCTTTGTTTTTTTTATTATTTCTAATTCTAACTATTTCTTTTCTTCTAACATTATGATTTCGAAAATAAACTCTTAAGAAATGATATGAATTTCCATTTGTATCATTTCGAATAGAAATATCAAAATTTATATAATTTTGATAAGTTATATCATCTAATATTATTTTTACCGTAGTTTCATTAATTTTTTCTTCTTGTTTGTTAATTTTAAAGTCACAATAAACATCAAATCCATTAATGAGAATATAAGCTTCTAGATGATTTGTAGTTACACATTTAATTTTCATATAATACTCTTGTGTGTAATAATCAATATAATCATCTATGATTTCCATAGAATATTTATTATCGTCAGGATATTTATTTCCAAAAAAAAATTCGCGAGTTTTAATCATTTTTTTATTAAATAAAATATAATAATAAAATATGAAATTATAAATAATAAATAATAAAATTAGGAAAATAAAATATTTATAAATAAAATTAATTAATAATATTAATATATTTATTAACTAAATTAACTAAAATATTATTTTTCTCATCATCAAACTCTCCATAATTATCAAATGTAAAAATTTTAGTATCATCATAATCTTCTTCATTAATAGTATTGTATCTAAAATATAATTTCTTAATTTCAAATTCAGAATAATTATCATTATCTTTTCGAACTTTTAACACATCTTCCTCACTTCTAATAATATTAATAATTAAATCAAAATTAATATCGTTAATAAATTCTTTAATTCCTATCAACATTTTTTTCTGAACTGTATCTTCAAAAAACTCTTCATTATAAATTAAAACATCGTAAATGGTATAATCAAATAAAATAAATTTCAACTTTTCCATTTTTTCAATTTCTTGGTAAACCTTTTTATAATATTTAATAATTTCATTTTGGATATTATTTTTTGTTTTACTTTTAGTTATATCTGAAATAATATCTCGTAATTCTTTATTGATATAAATTTCATCTTTTCTAATTCCATTTAACAATAAATGGTCTTTAATCTTATTAATAATAGTAGTTTTACCAACTCCAGGTGCTCCAACAAATCCAAAAATGAAAGAACTGGTACGTTTTGTAATTTCAATTTTTTGCATAACTCTAATAGATGTACCGGGATTTTGATTATTGTATCTTTTAATAATTTTCGCAATAGCATTTTCTCCGATAAAAATTTCATTATAACACCTTTTTTCTTTTTTAATGTAATTTTTATAATGATCATTATTCAATATTTCAGATTTGTTGAGAATTTTTTGTCTAACATCATTATTTTTAAACTTAAATTCCTTAATAAGAGAATCTAAATCAATGATATCTAATATATATTTTGTTTCCAAAATAGAATATTCCAAATCATTTAAATAATACGTAATAATATTTTTTTTATTTACTTTTTTTCCGCTATAAACTGATTCAAGACGATTATAATCAGGTTCAAAATATTCACATAATTTGTTATAAGCTGCATCAATAAATGTTTGATTATTTTTATCAAACTTAATATATGAAGATACGCCAAATTCATCAGTAATTTTATAAACTGAAGTTATTGGATTATATGAATATTCTATCTTTAACAAAATTATAAAGGATCCAATATTATTTTCATTTTCTAAATCCACAACTTCACTTTTTTCAATATCAGATTCTGGAGTTTCGATTTTAATATCGATTGGTGATTCATCAAATAAAGACATATTTTGAATTTGTATTTTATTAAAATATGAGATATTAATTTATTACGATAAAAAAAATACAATTATTTATACTTGTAAAAATTATTAATCAATTATATCATTATTTGTATCATTATTAATTCTCTTATAAGGTGAATATCTATTACTATCCTTGATTGTAACTACTTGTTTTTCAACACCTGTATAATTAATAGTAAGATTGGGATAAACAATAGAATAATTATTAATATTAGTATTTTCTATAGTAATTACATTATTATTATCATTACTATTATTATTATTATTATTATTATTATTTTTAATAATTCTAATTAAAGTATCATATAAATCATCAATAGTACAAAGAAAAATCTTATTCTCATAATTTTTAACTTCAGCAAAAGCAGCTTCTGTATATCTACCATTTGTTAAAAAAATCCCTACAAAATTTGTTCCATTATAATTCATACCATATAATGCATTTACTCGATCAAAATACACTCCACGAAACTCACGTACTTTATCTGGTTTTACAGGATAATCTTCAGGATTAATTGTATATTTTAATTGCATTATAAAAGAAATATTTTTGAAATTTCCTTGAATATCAATACCACAATCAGGAACTGTGATGATAACTGTATTACTACTTCCAAGACCTTTTAAATAATTCAATGTCATATTTTCAAATTTATGACATCGATCAACATTAGGTAACTAAATAATAAAAAATAAATAAATAAAAATTATATAACCACATTATAATTTAACAAACTTACATTTTCAAACTTCTTATCGAATTTAAAATATTTTTTGATTAAATCTTTATTATAATTTGCTAATTTCATTTTTGAAGTATAAAATATGATTAAGCATTTATTGAAATATTTATAATAAAAAAACAAGTTTAAATATTAATAATTAATCTCTTCTACATGATAAAAATATAATTTAAATTTGTTCTATTTCTTTATCATTAATAATAATCATATCATTTTTATCCTTTTTCTCACTCATTATTAAAGCTGTTAATCTTTCTACTTGTAATTTTAAAACTTTAATTTCATTTTCTTGTTGCAATTCCTTTTGTTTTTTTTCATATTCTTCCTTTGCTTTGGTAAAATTTTTAATCTCATTATTACCCTCATAACACTTCTTATTTAATTTCATATAAAAATCTTTATTTGAATTATAGTCATCACTTCCTTCCAAAGGAATATTTTTTTTAAATTGATTAAT